ACACTGTGTGTGTGTGAAACAAGCAGAGACTCTGCAGGTACAGCGAAACTTCTGTTTCTGCCATAAACCGCCTCCAACACCACTTACTTTACTGTACGCGGACACAGTGCAAAGTCATGGCCGTGTGCTTTCCAAATAGCTGAGGAGGCCAATAATGAGCCTTATTTGTTTCATGTGGTTTAATGAGTTGCTCAGACTGCAGCTGTTAAAAAAGGGGGGGACCTCACAGAGTCTGAGGAAGGGCTGCCCCACCCCAACTCACCCTACACCCTGGCACAATCACTGTTCCCAGCAGCAGCAGCAGTGCCATGGTGGCACGTGAGCGAATTAGTGGGGGTGTCGAAAGCCCCAAGTAGCGACCACCTTGTCGTCTGACACCCCCTCCCCACCTCGCTAATGCCCTTTTTCTCGTTTTCCACAACCGTTAATTAAAGAGGAAAGAGTGCATCAGATGTTAGTTTTATTAGCCCAGGCTCCTTAGAGGGAATCAAAATGAAAGGAACATATGTCATGCATTTGATGATACCCCCCCCCCCCCCCCCCCCCCCCCCTCCCTCTCTGTTTCTTTCTCTCCACAGTTTCCCACCTCACACACTTAGAAAGTGTACAGTCAGCAGCTGTCTGCAGACACAATAGCATTTGATTGATCCTGAGGAAACGGTTAAGACGCTGCCCTGCCCACGCTGCCTTTCTGGCTGGCTGGTTCACATTCTGCACCACTTTACATTTAACGCTGAATGTGGCAGCCATTGGTATAATAAGAGATGGGGATGGTGGTTTGGGGTCTGAGGCGCTGTTTGGGTTTTAATGAGGGCAGCCCTTGGAGTACACAGGACCTTTTTAGCTCCACGTGGTACAGGCTGAGATTCAAAGCTTGACACTTTAAACTGGTTTAAAGGTGTCTTGACGAGCTTTGGGGCCACTGACTATCTCTTAATATCTTCCAAAGTGATGAAAGATAAGCACGTAGATAAATGAGATGTGTCTCTTCACTCATTATAAAGCATGAGTGCATGACACACAAAGACAGATTTGCGAAATCACTCATTTCTTACAAAATATTGCACAAATACAGAAAGTACATGGATAATATACTCCTTTCATTCTTCTCTCTCCTCACAACGTGATTGCATGCCTTACCTTCAGGGGCAAGCTGATTTATGAGACACATGCCTGTTTTTTCATGACTTGTTTGATTGCATTCTCAGCTATCGGGCACTCGGGCTGCCAAAGCTGTAAAAGTTCACACCTGCACAGGATTGCTCGAGCATCAGACGGGGAAAAAAATGCAGAGCAGAGCAGAAGGAAAGAAGTGATCTTAGGTAGTTCAGTTGCCTTGATCAGGTCAGGCATAAGACACACAGAATAAAACAGGCATGGCTGATTGATTGATGTTCATTTTACCTTTATAATTGCTTCATCTTGTGTCAATGGGATATCTGTTTTTTTTTCTTTGATGCTGTCTTCTGACACAGGACAAAACACAACACCCAGAAAAAGTCCCAAAGTCACACTTTTCTGTCTTTTTATCTTTATTGTTATATTTACCTGCACTTGAACTGATTACATTTAACTGAACTTTATCACATTGTCACTGGAAGTTCTCTGTATGTGCATCGTTTGCATGACTCCACAACAGACAGCTAATCAATTTGGAGAAGATATTTGACATGTCCAAAATGATGTCCTGAGTCAGGCAGTCTACGCGTCTCTGGTGGTTACAAATGTCCTCCTGTAGCAATAATGCAATCAGTGTTGTCTCCCATCTACATTCTCTGGGTTCTTTTTCACTTGGCCTGACACAATTGTGCATTTATCAGTGTAATTGCATGAGTCGGAAGCACTGATGTTGTCTATTAGGCGGATTTCCATCCCGTTAAGAGCAGAGGGCCTTTTAATGTATGGCCTTGCTTGAGTGTACTGCTACACAATTACACACTGACCAAAGATTGAGTGGACTGATGATGCTGATGATTGGGGTGGCTGCTGCGATGGTGGTGATGGTATTGGACCACCCTGCCCTCCTCCAACAAGCCTTTCAGAGAGTGAAACAACAAAGTGAAACCGAGGTTAATCATTTTATTTACTCGTTTGTCTCTCTCCCTCTCCCTCCTCTTTCTTTAACCAAGTGATGGGGCTCGGACCGTGAAGGAGGAGGGGGGGGTGGGAGGAATCGATGGGGAGCGCATTACAGTAAAACGTATTGATTAGGAGACCTGTGAGCTGTGTGTTGGTCGCAGAGATGGTGGAATGATGCAATGCTTAAAGGAATTTATCCTTTGACTTTTACATTAACCTTTTATTGACTGCTTTGCCTGTCCATAATTAACACTCACTTTAGCTAAAGTGGTTAGTTTTAGCGCAAAGGGGGCTCGGGCCCTTATTGCAGTGAGGGCCGTGGAGCTCCCGCCCCAGCCGCAGTTCAAGTGCACTGTGCTGCGAGGAGGGAAAGGCCTCTGTGGAATAGAGGCGATAGAATCCTGGATACCTTTTGCATTAGCATACCATTTGTGCCGGAGCCTACCGGGCTATAAGGTTTCAGGGCAAATTGAAATGAGTGATTGTATTGCCAATCTCTCTTGACCGAGCGCCAGATGGGATAGTTAGGCCCATATCTGTCTGGGGTTAATCCATTGGAACGGCCTGGACTCACAAACACAGTCTATACCTTTTCAACCCCCCCCCCCCATCTTCACACCACTGAACACACACACATGCACACCTTTTTGTCTTTGACCTTAACTTTAAGGTGGACTGTTCTGCCATGGGAAAGTCCTTTGGTGAGGCTTGTTTGTACGCCACTGTGGCTTACACAGAATATCTAGCAAGAGCCCTGGAGAGCTTTAGGCACCTCGCTCGGTATTGACTTTTTGTTTGGTTCCATTTTAGCAGTCAGGGTACGGCACTGTGGGAACAGTGGTTGATTGTGTAAAAGTGTGTGCTGAATTACCTTCACAGTATTATCTTTGATAGTCTTATATTCTCGGTATCTTCTATATCTCTGGTAAACCAGGACTCCTCTATTTGCAATGTAATGTTGCAAGATCCCTTGTCAAATAAATGTAGTGGCTCTGTTGAAGGCGGCTGGTCAGGGTTTTAACGGTTTGTAGCTTTTCATTACGAGCCAGGCCAGCAGAAAAGAGGCAAGTGTTTTTCCTCTCATAGCTCTAGTGCATGAATACTTAATCAGACCAAATCAAAAGCCTGGGTCCCCTTAGCCCGTGGTGTCCTCAAGCTGATGTCAGCAGAACCACACAGCGAATGTGTGTGTGTGTGTGTGTGTGTGTTGTCTGGGTCAGTTAGCACTCACAAACTGTGTTCATATGTATGCCAGCCATGCCCTCTTCATTCTCCTCCTCCTCCTCCTCCTCCTCTGAAGTGGTGCTTCCTTTAATTCGCACCCTAAATAAATGATGAGAACATTTAAACACACGGCTCATCGCAAAGCCCCAAGGTCGCCTAATCGTATTATTTATGAAGTGATGTGCTACATAATGGTACTTAGTGCATGTTAACAGATGCTATTATCAGGCCCTGATCCAGGGAGCTGAAGATATATTAGACAGTGGATGTTAATGTTGCTCCTCACCACCATAATGCAGCCACTCTTCAAGGGGCTAACCGCACCAAAATGCAGCACTTAGGCCGAGAGCCAGTCGAACATTAAGTGGCTCCGGAGAAAATATATAACCACAAATTGTGGCAGCCCCCGGCTGTCCCCTGACAACTTTAACATCCCCCCTCATCCCATCCATAACACACCCCCATATCTTTGTCTTTGGCTCTCTGTGCCCTCTCCATCCCCTCTGTCAGTCAATGGCCACAAGGTGGTGGTGGTTGAGTGTGTGTGTGTGTGTGTGTGTGTGTGTAAGTGTGTGCAAGGGGCTTGTTTGAGGTTTTTTCAGAGTGTGGATGGGGTAAAGAGAAATGACAGTGCTCGGCATAATGACTGAGTGGGGAATATAAGCGGCCTCGTGACTCTGGGAGCCGCTGCTCACATCCACACACAACACACACATGCCATCCACCACTTCTCCCTCCTGCACCTTCAGGTCAGAGGTCGTTCTCGTCTGTCAGGAGGCAGAGGGAGGGCAGATTTACAATGACAGCAGAGAGCAACACAGAGTCACAGCAGTAAATATTTACACAGGTCTGACAAAAGATGTGGCCAAGGACCGCGGGGGCTGAAAATACAGTGAAAATTGCAACTGAGCCCAATTATTAGTCGCACAAGAACGGTGACCTGAGGAGGCCGCTTTTCTCACCGCTCCATCACGATTGACAACAGAGAATGATGCTCTCATGATAGCATCCTGCTGTGTGTGAAGCGTAAGGGTCATTAATCATGAGTCATGATATCACGGTGTCTCATCGCTCTGATACTCTGATACTGTTGAAGCCATTTCTGGCTTTCGAAACACTTTTCCTGACACATCACTTTCTTCCCGTGCATTCAGCTCCGCTGAGTTAAGAGAGCTTTCCTATTTCTGCAGACACATCTACACGGACAAACTTACTCTTTCTTTATCCAGAGCTCCTCGTTGAAGGCGGTATTACGAGGGGTCATAAAACGAAGAGAAAACACCCCGTCAGACACACAGCGCTGCTTGTGTGTTTATGAAGAGGTTAACACACACATGTGCTCACATTTAATTGACTAAACAGCTTGACATTTCTTGGACTGACCCCATTAAATCCCTCATCAGTCAATACCGAAAGACCAGATAGAAAGATCTCTGTTTATCTTCACCTACAACAGACCCACTGCTGTTGACTATTACTAGGGTGTGTACTGATATTGCTCATGTTGTGAGGACATAAATCTATTTCTGGCATTCAGCCGCTTTCTGAAAATAAAAAGTCCAAAGCAGTCGACTTTTCCAACGTACACATATCTAGTGATAGACCACTGGGATGCTTATACGTAGTGCCTGCCAGTTGCATATGATGGAAGGGAGGAGTTAATGGGTTTGCGTGTTTCCTGCATCCTGTCACCTCAGGTGCCACTCGAGTCTGGCCCAGACGTTACCCCCCGAGGAGGCCCCAGTGGACCGCCCCTTCTGGGGTGTGGATGACCCCAGCATGCCTCTGCCCTTTGATCTGGCTGACATCATCAACAGAGTGGAGTCATTGCTCTGGAGGTGGGCCGCTGTAAAAAAAAGTGCTTATTTACACACAGACTCCACATATGTATTTGTATATATATATACACACACATGTAAAGCAAAGCTTCATCTTGGACAGATTTATGAATCACTATTCTACTGTAAAGTCTAGAACTGATTTTGATACCAGATTCACACTCTTAATACACATATCTGACTGCTCATGTATCAGATATACCATTTTCTGTGGCCAGTACACAGAGTTGGATGTGAGATTAAAACAATGTTTTTTCACATTGTTATATACGTCCTTATTTTTCTCCAACAGGATGTGAATGGTGGATAGATGAAGTGAGGAAAAAAGGATAAGAAATGAACCCACCAGCTTCTCTGAATGGTCCCCGCATCAGATGAGGGGACAGACCACTCAAGATCCATCTGTTTTGATCCCACCAAGATTTCCTTTTGATTGGGACATTTCCATCCCCCTAACCTCCTTCACCCTCCACCCCGGTATCTCAGTCACCCAATCTTGGATTTGGCTGGGAGGAAACCAGACTTCCACAGTAGATACAGCATAGTGCTTCAGTAACATGCTAACGCAAAGCTTAGCACCAAGCTATAATCTCACCACGGTCTAAGGAAACATATGTGGAACCTGCATTTCAGTGTTAGCATACTTTGTGTAACTATTTATTATTTCTATGTACTCAGTTACTTACTCTCATGTAACCCAGACATGCTTTTATCAATGGATTTACTGATTCTCTTTAGCCATAGTACAGTACATACATATATGCTTTTTACTTGTCATACAGTGTTATAAAACAGAATAGAATGGTAAGAAAACTCACTTTGCTCACATGGTATTTGCATTTTTCACTTGCGCACTGTGTAACCCCTTTTAGCGTGTTCAGAAGTAGAATGAGCCTGAGAGACCAAAGAAAGAAAATGATAAGAAAGTTATGAATGTCACCCAGCGGAAAACATGAAGAATGTGTTGTCAAGTGTTTCTACGGTGCAGTGGTGCGCTTGAGCCATATCGATGTGAGAATGTGCGTGTTTGTATGTTTACATTTAGCCATGCGAATATGTGTGTGATCAGTCGTCCGCTTGCGTGTTTGTGCACGTGCACGCTCAACCCCCCCCCCACACGCCTGCATTAGGGCGCGTGTGTATGAATGTGATAGTGTGTGTGAGCCTGTAGGCTGCCCGCCAGTTGTTTGTTCTGGAGGACTTGCGTATGAAGAAGCAGAGTGGAGCGGCAGAGCCCCCTCTGCCTCCGCTCGGATGAAAGGCAGCGCTGATAGAATGACCCGGAACACAACCGCCGTTTCTCATAATTACAGCTGTTCAATCGCTTTTAATTACTCTTAAAGCGTGTAGAGCACCACGTTCCCCTGTAATGCTGCAGGCCATCTGAGAAAGCGAGAGAAAGATCCGACACTTCTGACAAAATCCACTTGCGAAAAAGCCAAAAAAGAAAAGGAAAAGGGAGGCTGGCGAAGGGGGTCGACGTGGAAGCAGTGTAGCAGCCCTCCTTGTTTGATTTCTCTCGCTATCTAGTTCATGATGAAGTAGAGATACTGTTTACTATTAAAAATGCAGGATGCACTCGTTTTTTTACTTCTGAACTTTTTTCCAAGATGTTAATGATTGCCAAACGCTGTTCTTCTTGCTTCTTCTTTTTCTGCGCCTTTGTTGTTTGTTATTGTCAGAGAGGTTTGTTTGTAGATCGGCGGTAGCCTCGACTTGTTTGAATCACTCTGTGCTCCCTGCGCCTCAGCTTGTCTGTCGGAAGCAATAGGAATGGCAGTAAATAAAAAAAGGTGTTTTATCCATTGGCCTGTGTCCTTCCTGTGTTCATTTATATCTGTGGATGACATTTTTCTCTGATAGTAAAGAGGCCATATCCTTGGATTTCGGCCTTCATTGAGATGATTAAGATACCAAAGATGGGTAAAGATCCCTTTGTTTTATTCTACACACAGGAGTATATTAACAGTACTCACAGTGGTTGATTAATAATAAAAACTTGAAAGAATTAGTCGTCGGTGCCACAGAGGGCTAATTTATTTTGACCACGACAGCATCATCACTTATCTGTATCCAGAGTTTTTAAATGTTATTCTCATGAAGTTTGCCTTTTTTCTTCAGATGCTGCATGTCTCTTGACTAAACTCCAGAAGAAGCAGCTGGTTCAAACCGCATTTTCCACCTCCGAATGATTGATGGATTGACTGATCGAGAGATGTCACTCCCTGTCGAGGAGTGATGGCTAATATTCTGTATGCCTCTCTCCAAAAGCTCACCCCCACACCCTTTACCAACTACCATCCCAGGGGTCGCTTGTGTTAACTACTTCCTGTAGTGGCTCAGTGACTGAGTGATGGATGAGTGTGGAACGTTCTCCCCTCAGGGGTCAGCTGAAAAAAGGGCCCCACTTGAAGAGACAATTACACTGTGCTGGTGAGAGCCACAGGTATGCATTGTTCTGACCAGGGTCAGCCGCCAGCCAGTCAGCCAAGCCATCCTCAATTAGGCCAACAATAGGAGTAAGGAGAGATAAAATAACCAGGTGTGTGGTGGGGAAAGGTATCAGTTTAGGGTCATATCCCAGTCAAATGTTTCACTGTGTGGCTACAAGGCTTCTGTTGAATGGAGTGTGATCAAATAAGATCAAGCAATTCAATTAAATCCAAATCTTTTATTAAGAAGATTAAGAAGATTTTGGGGGTTGTTTTGGTGAGTGATAGTGAAGAGAAACTACGTTTCACATTAATAAATAAATAAGTTTTACTATAATAATAAATGTATTTTCCCTATAAAGGAGGATTTAAAATATCCCCCTCTCTTTTAAAGCAGGCCCTCCGTATACACAAATGAATACATGTGTAAAAATGTCTGAGCAAGAGTTCGTACAAATAAGTCCATGTGTCGGTTGTTAAAGGTTCACGGCGCATCTTAGCAGTCCGCGCTGGTGTCAGAAGCCCCGGGGCCAGAGAGGCAGCAGTAATTGTAGAAGCAGGCAGGAGAGCTGAAGATAGCATCGGCGCTCTGGGGCGGCTGTCAGCAGCGGGACGGGCTGCTCTCATTTGTCACCGGCACAGACAAACAGCACTCGGCACCGACAAAACATCCACTTGATTGACTACATGTGAAGCAACACACAAACCCTAATGTTTTGCAACTGTTAATTACACCGAAGGTCATAAAAAAGGCAGATAGACGATTTCACGTCAGCATAAATGCGAGGCAGCGCATAAAGTATCTGTTGCAAATTAAACTAAAGGTTATGGATTCTGACTTGGTTTATCATGCTGTTTTTATTTAGTTGTCGCATTCCTTTTGTTTTACCGATTCTTGTTTATTGAAAAAGAAATCTTTCCCTTTACGATTTTGTCAGTTGTGAAACACGATGTCATTTTTGGATGATTAAAGGATGATTAAATCAAAATGTGCCTACCGGGGCAGTGATGGAGAGTTTCTTGAAATTAGGAATGTTGTCAGTGACTTGAATGACCCGGTATTAAATATTGCATTTGTGGCCCAAGCATCTGCAGGGATCTCCTCGTCTAAGAATAACTCCAAGCAAATGTTCCTGCCACCTGTTGATGAGTCCTGCACATCAACTGGGAGGATATTCAGTAAGTTTTTTTTGTCAGATGACACTGGGATAATGGTGGGTTCTTTCATGTTAACTGGACACCACAGGTTGCCTCACAGCACGTCCACTTCATTAAGGTCAGAACTTATGAAGCATTAGATTTCATCATTTTTGGCTTTTTTTGTAAATTACATTCTCACTAAAGCTCTTGAGTTCATATCACGTGAAAAGTCAGGTTTATAAAAAGGTAGTTATGTTCATCTTTATATGAATAGCCCAGCATAAAGTCTTTCACAGTCATTATTTTTATCAAACAGCAAGCCAACCAAAAAGATGCAGAAGCAGTGTGTGAATAAAATGAACAAACCTCATGATTCAGAGAATAAAGAGGAACCTTTCTCTGGATTTCATTATCAGTCTCATACCCCTTTTGGGCTTAATCTTTCATCAAATTCTCTTAATAATAACAGTCAAAAGTGTCAGATGTTGTTCATCTGAGGTTGCAGTTAGTTCAGTTCTTCTGAGGCGAGGAAAATGTTTTCTTCTTAGAGACCAGCACTGTACACCAGTTTGATTCAATCTCAACAGCATTCAGGTTATTTATACATCCCACATTCTCTCTTGTGGCCATTAACCGAGAAAGTTAAGAATTCACAAATCTAATGAAAGACAGTGCACTTCCCTCATTATGATGCAACTGTTGAGTTATTTTTGTGCGCTTTGATTTGTGTGAATATGTGATTATGTTTGAGGTCACGTTACTGTGGAAGGAAATTCAACATTTAACGCAGATATTCTTCAATTTTATCCTGACAGTCTACCACTATTAAAACGAGGCTGGTTGAATGTGCTGAAATGAAGCGAGGCGGATCACGGCCGACATGTTCTCTCGCCCCCTGCTCATTTAGCGTTAGAGAGAGGCTGAGGAGGAAGTGTAGATGTTGATGCGGGCAGGAGCAGGGCAGCCTCTGATGAGCCGAGGGTACGGCTGATGAGTGTGTGTTCGTGCTGCAGAGAGCAGAGATTATCTTTAGGGAGAGGGGCCTTTCAGATCTAACGGCAGTACGATCTAATGTGGAGCATGTTTGTGGGTCGTTGCTATTGCCCCGGCTCTGGTGACCGGCTACTCCAAAATCGTTTGTCCTGCAGGACCTCGGTCTGTTTATCTCTATCTCTCCCAATTTCAATCTGAAGTGGCCGACCCATTTCCCCCATTCACTCCCAGGAATCATATGTGGAATCTTATGTGCTGATGCCCAGATCAGATTAAAAAAAAAATGTGGCTGCTACAAAGAAAGAGGACTGCTTGCTCTATTGTGTCATTTGAGCTAATAACAGAAATCACCTGGACTGCTTTAGGACACCGAACAAGAGGTACGAAAGCCAAACTGTTCCTCCTTTGTTGTTGCATGGTTCAAGTTTCTCTTCGGTAGGATGAAGAGGTTATCAATTGCAAAAATGCCAAAAGAAAATATTTAAAAGTACAAATGTGAGAGCTCTAACAGAAAAATAAAATTCCAAAATATAGTATAGATATATATAAGCAATTGGAGCTCCTGTCTGTTTTTCCTATTCCTCCCACAGTGTCAGGGTCTCACCCTCCTTAGTTCCCACCTCTCCTTCCCGCCATGCCCTGTGCCTCCGGAGCAGCCCTGAAGCATCTCCACTCATACCTGCCTCTCCGGCTTTACGTCGTGAGCCCCGTTAGCACCCTGCCATTCACATCCA